TACAGTACTGATATGGCTGTGAAAAAGCACTGAAAATGGCACAGGCTGTGCTCAGGAAATACGCCAGTTTAAACACATTCAACTTGCCTTCACTTCTTGTGGAAATTTAATCCCTTACATTTTAATTCTTAAATTTCTCAATTTGATTTCTTTCTTTTTTATACAGGGTGAAAAAAAGATCAGATTTGACAAGTGCCTTTAAATTAGAACCTCTTTACCTGCAGCATCACCATCAGGAGTCTGGTAATTTTATAATTAAATTAGATTATTTTTATTTTGTTTGTACACTGATATTTAATGGAAAATAGGACTTAAGATGAAAACTGAAATTCTTAAAACTACCTAAGTTTCCATTTTCAGAGTGCCCTAGGGAGTTAAGCGTATTCAAGTGCAAACACATGTCTAGTGAGATTTTAGTTAGTATAAAAAGCAATTGAGGGAAAGCCATTTTATAAAGCATTTAATACTTTTGTGTTCTGATTTCTCCAGCTCCCGACTTACCACTGACTTTAGGAGTCCTGATAAAATTCTTAGTGATCTTTTGGCAGTCAGATAAACCTATTACTGGGTGCCGTGTATCGAGTCCCTTAATCTGCCTTCCCCAACATATATTTCTCCAGAATGGTTTCAAGATCTGATCTGTTTTTAAAGTTTCTAAAGTCTATGACCTTTTTTTCATGCAAGCTCTGATTCAAATTTAAAAAAAACCATGTCAGGAGCAAAGATTCCCTGACACCACAAAGGAGGAGTAAGCTGTGTTTGATACCTGTGCTCTATTTCAAGTGATAGCTATCTGGGACATTATCCTGTTGCTCTCATGTTCCTACACTGATTGTAGAGAAGGCGGGAGGTGCAGACTATCAGTCTTGTACAAAATGCTCACGAAAGCTCTTCACAAAGTGCTTACCAAGAACTTACGAATCTTAGGCCCTGTACAAAGCTCCTTAATGGATTAGCGCTGCTCCTCGCACATACCTAGCAACCGCAGAGCGGAATTTGCCATCCTGAAGCCCATTTTTACACATTTGGTTATTAACTGATTAATTGTGAAGAAGGTCACAGCAGTGCAGTGTCAACAGGTGGTGCAAGTTCCCTCATAGCTTTCTCAAGAGGATGAATCACATGTGGATGTTCTTATCATTTACTCTTATCTCACATTTTTCCTGGAATTGCTGGTGCTGGTCTGTGTTCAGAAGTGTATCCTGAGTATTTTTATCTTCTTTCTGTTATGGCTATGAACTCATTGACGTTTAAATAAATATCATCCAGAGTTCCACCATTCACTAGAAGGCCCTAGGAAAAATGGATTCCTGTGCCTTAATCCTGAACTGGCAGAAATTTTGCATTTTATTCCTTTTCTACACTTCCAAGAAATGCAAACATAGAACAGTGCAATAAACAAGAAAATGCAGTAACTCTGGAGCTGAGGTGCCAAAGGCTAGAATTGTTAAGAATAAAATGTATACTGTTTTTTTGCCCTTTTTTAAATGAAAAGTTATAGCAAATATACTTAAGTCAGTAGCTTTTATTTCACATACATGAAAAATATTTCTCTTCAGGAGAAAAAAATCCAACCTTAACTAATGTGAGAATATGTTCTTGTGACAAGTGGCAGTCCTGATACAAGAACTGTAGGTCTTCCCCAGGTTAAATAACACCAGAAGAAGATCAAACCTTTCTTAAAACTAGGTGCTTTCAGTGAGGCCACCTAGTTGACTTGAAAACTTGTAACTCCTCAGTTGGATAAGAAGTTGTTCAGCCTTCGTCTTGACTTCAGAAGCTGTGATAGCATGGTACGCGGTCTGGACATGGTGATTTAAAGAGATCAGCTTATTACTAGCAGTCTGGTGACACTAAATTTTTCTACGCTCTGTTCCTGTTTGATATCAATTTTCGAAAGAGCTGGACAACACTTTCAGATGCAAATGCCTCTGGTTAAACTGTTAAATCCAATCCACACTTACGCCTTCAATAAACTTAGTGAAACTTGCCAAGGTGCTAGGCTGTTACAGTCCCTGTTAATCCCTGCGTGATTTATGGGATGTCGACATTCCTGGAAATATGACTTGTCTAATGGAGGGTCTTATTTTCTGAGTATGTCTCAGGTCTGAGGATTCCCATCATGGTTTACAAGGCAAATGAAGTAGCATTTTTGAATTCGCTCATCTCTCACTTGAGAATTTAAATGAGCGGAAAAATATCTCTATCTGTGAGCAATTACTCTTAATAACCATATGGCAATTACGTGTGCCCCCAAGGGGAAAGTCTTTATTTTGTCATTAATTATAATTTTATGTGATTTTCATCATCACACCAGGAAGATTATACTAGCTTGCCTGGCAACCCAGGATATAGGTCAAATCCTAATGGCAGTGTTAGAAGAATGCAGCTTTATACTCTATTGTGAACACCACATATGCTCCCACAATGCAATTCCTCCTGGTTAAATACAGATGTAAGACTAAGGCTTGTAATCAAAGACTAATCATTGATTCATTCTGCTTCACAGCTTGTGAAAGGCGTTGTTGTGGATCATTAGACATAGCCCCGTACGGGAGCGTAGGATTATTTATCTATCACCAGTTGCTTTACTCCTTTGCTACCAGTCTTGCAGCTATCAGACAAAAATGGCTGCCACACTGCAGAATATGAGTGTTATGAAATTACCTCGTTAACCGAGCTGAGGCAAGCATGTTCATTTCCTGAAATCCAGGAACACGTTAATGATTGTTGGTTCTTTTGTGGTCTTTATTCACCTGGAAAATAACCCAGTAGCAGGTCAAAGAATGAAATGGCTGTATGTTGCAGGGAGGAAGGACTATGGTTTTTTGCTATGTTGTGGCTGTGTAGTTGTGAGAACATTGGCAAGAGGGCTTGTAACACAAGAAATACAGTCTTTTTTTTTTTAAGTCCTAGAAAATATAAAGGCTGAGAATTATGTAAATGGCATAGGCTGGTCAAGTTCAGGAGCTACAGTTCTGTATAGCACTTTGTTCTATATAGTTCACAATTCCAGGGGCACTTAGACAGCACTTTCCCATGGAATTGAAGTACATACTTTCCTATGAAGCTAGTACTTCACTGCAGAGTAATAAAGCAGAATAAGAAAGCTAAACAGATGCTTCCACATTTTCCTAAAGAAGTACTTTAAATTTTACATCGGTTTCATTTCTATCACTGCCTTACTGCAAGTAATCCACTTTTATGTTACAGTTCCCTTTACTATGAAATCAGTTTAATTACCTGATTCAAAGAAAAGGTAGATGCATCTTGACTCAGTGTGTGTATATAAAAGACAACTAATAACGCTCTCTATGTGTCCCTTGACTGCTTTGTGGCGTGGTCAATCTGTGTTTGTAAGGGGCTTATGCTACATGAAATGAAATAAGAAGCTATTAAAAAAAGCAGAATACTATTCTCCAAGCAGGAAGAGGTCAATTCTGAGTCAAATTTTCCAGTCACTTATTAGACATGCTTAAGAGTTAGCAACAAATATATGAATGAGTATAAAAGGTAGTTAGAAGTGAATTATTTTAAAAAGTGTTACCAGTTCACTAGGGCAAAGGTGGTGACAATTCACAGCAGAGAATGAGTCATTGAGTTTGGGGATTCTGTAAACAGTCTAAACCAAAATTAATAATAGCCATTTTATCTACTACTTCTTTTCCTTACAAGAAGAAAATAAACATACTATTTAGTCCCTCATCTCCACAGTATCTGCAGTATAGCAGAAAAGAAAATTGTGTTTCTTCTCCTGTAAACTGTTTAATTTGCTAGTGGTATATTCTACCTAGCTAAGGAATGAAGCTTATTACAATCACCTTCATTTAGCATGCTGCCAAGTATCCTACTGGATATTTAGTGGTCCTGTTGACACTGATGATGCTGAAGTTTGTAGCAAACATACAGGAGAGCTGAGATATGGCTTTTTCGATAACATTAGAATGACTGAAGTCTTTGGCTGTTGCGATGAAGTAATATGAACATTTTTTCTTTAACTTACAGGCCTTGTAACAGATTATCGGGTAAGTACAGCATCAATGTAATAACTAATACCATTACTTGTATATACTGATATTTTCAGGACTTTTAATTTTCCATTACTATCATAATCCTCAAAACTTTATGTTTCTTTCCAGGAAGAATGCAGCTTGATACATTTTTAACATTCCTCAAGCTGAAATTTTAAACTCTGTTCTTTCAGAAGAAATTGTTTAAAGGCAGAAATTGTCTTGCATGTGCAATATCTCAAGGTTTAGGCAGTAGAAAGAAATGTCACTAAGATTTCTTTTCCCTTAACATAGTGAATTAAAAAAAAACCCCAACAACGTATGTGTTTTAATCTTTAACCAGTGGAAACACTGTTGTTTTGAAATGGAAAATAGGATTGCCATTGTAGATGATAGCCCACAACTGTAAACAAGCTAATGTACATGAGCTTCTAAGATACTTATTTTTCTAAAGCCTTTGAGGAGAATTCAAGAGGCACAAAGAAAATTTTATTTGCCTTGTGACTCTTCCATTCAGACATCAACCTCCTTTTCCAATTTTAATTTGAAAATTTTCAGTATTAAACAGTCACACCAGGGCATTAACCAGGAATAGACATTTCTACAATTATTTGACCACCTCTGGTAACTGCCTGTAGGATGTGGCAATGCCGTACGCTTCCAAATGATGGCAGAATGTACAATTTCTGCCGTATCTCTGCAACGGTGACTTCTAATGTGGGTGCCCTCCCTTCTCCCTGGCTTGCAGCACTGGCAAATCCCGCTGGGCAGGAGGTTCCGCTCCCTGAAGCTCTGGTTTGTGCTGAGGATGTACGGAGTCACGGGACTGCAGGAGCACATCCGCAAGGTGACTGGAATTTGCTTTCTTGGGTAACGCGTGGTGGGATGGCAGGGGAAAATGAGCTGGCCTTCCATGACTTCTGTACACATCGGAAAGCACAGGCAACAGCGTTTAGACAGCGCAGTTCAATAGGGGTGCTGCTTGTCTGCCCCATGTGGTGTCACAATTTCATATCACAGCAGGATCAAAACTGTCATCTGTTTTGTGTTAACCTTTAGGGAAGACAAGTCTAGGAATTTGGAATTTCTACAATGTGGACCATAGTTCCCTCTCAAATTAAGCAGAGCACATCCATGGTTTTATTGCGGAAGAATATGTTTATTCATTACTTCTTTAATTTATTGATGTGCATGCATTGATAGCGTGTTTAGATTATGATTAGGGGATACGGTAACTTATTGGGCATGTCTGCGTCTGCTGCTTCTTTGTTTCTTGTTTTAAATACATATTTTTTTTAAAAAAAATGTGTACAATTTACAGTTTGTTAACATTATGAATAATGTTTATTCTTGAAGTAAAAAGAAGGGTTTTTTAATCACTAAAAAACACATCTGGAGGCAGTCTAACTTAAATATATATACTTCCTTGGTTGCAGTAAAGTCAAATTCAAGCATATCTTTCATCTTTATGAAGTTTAGGGATACTTCTAGCAAGGGGAGATCCATGACTTGGCTCTAAATATTTACAAAAATATCCATTAACTAAGGGTCTAGTCTAGTATACCAAACTCCCTGCAGACATACATTGCTCCCTATTATGGTACTAAACAGATTAATTCCTAAGAAAGGCTTTTTCCACTGTTGTAAAATCACTGCATGAGGAAGTTTCTTTTGATTTGGAAAGGTTCTGGGATGGAGGGTTCCCTCTTTGCTTGTAATTTTTGTCACACTGTAATTTTCAACTGACTCTTCAGTTATCAAAATTAGATTTTAATCCTTAATGAGGCTTTCAGAAATAAATTTTGACAACAGTGGCAATCCTGATGTTCACTCATCCTTGTGGCGATCTGATATATATCTTTCTGATGTAAGGTAGATGCGAGGTTTGTTATCGCTTTACTAGGCTACCACTACAGTTTCTAGTGGGATTCTTTCTCAGGGTAGATTTCTGGAGACCGCAACTATTTCAATCTGATGCCAAGTGTTTAATTAGGGCTAAATCTCTCACTGGGAAAATAGGGGGTTAGAAGCCTCATATCAATTACATGCCCTTTTATCAGGCTGATTTTCCACAGGTCAGTATTTACATTCAACAAGTTCCTTCTTTCCCTGTCTCACAGACATTTCACTGACTGGCCAGCCAAAGAGTGCTTGTCTTCCTATAATCATAGCTGAAGACCAGGTTTTTATATTTTCTGTGATAATGCAGTTCAGGAAGGCTAAGCAAATCAATCTTTTCTTAAAGATACTGACTCCAAAGTAAGAGCCTAATATGTTCCCTTATTTGTAAAGGTAATTCAGACAGCTAGATTTCCAAGGGCTTGTTGAATTGAGGGTGTAAGTTTAATATTTCGTTAAGGACGAAATTGTTCCCTGTATACAGAGAAAAATAAGTTAACACCTCATCTTGCATCTTTGAAAAGGCAAGACGGGTAATTCAGTGCAGAATTTGGCTCACTGTATACATCCACCAAACTGGAACCCCTGTAGTGGCCAGAATTATTTCTGAAGCTACATTTGTTACAGTGGGTGATAGAGTGGACATAGGTACAACGAGAAGAGACCTAGGGACAGTGGCAGAAGCAGGCATTGCAGCGTTCAGGTGGAGAGCAGAGTAGCGGGAGCTGGGGGAGCGGGAAGAAGTGCTGGCTCTCTCTTGTGTTGTTAAAGAGCTTCCCTAGGAAGGGCCGCAGAGTCAGGCAGAAGAGCAGAGGTTTGAAACAGCAGCTTGGGCTGGAACCTGGGGAAGGGGATGCCTACGTTTGGGATGTAGCATGCAGTCATGCACCGTGTGGTTTTCATACGTCTGTGTGTAGTTTCCGTATCTGTGTGTAGGGCATGTCGTTCCTGTTCACGCTATACAGTAGCAGCTAAGGCAGGCCTGTTCAGGTGCAGGGCTGGGCCTTGCTGAGAGATTTGGGACCTAGAGTTTCAATTCCTTTCTGAGTTTGTAAAAATCCAAATACAGATGCTGTGATCAGCTAGGAAAAAAAAAAGACACTTCATCTCCTAAGTCATAGAAAACTGTAGGCAGATTTATCCAGTGTTTATAGACTTCTCGTTAGGCTTCTTTTGTGCAGCCAGGTGCTACTTACAAAGAGATTTGAGATTTCCAATAGTGATGCTCTTCCTGTGTGACCTGCTCTAGGTGGCCCTGCTCTGGCAGGGGGGTTGGACTAGATGGTCTTTCGAGGTCTCTTGCAACCCCTGACATTTTGTGATTCTGTGACATGTTAGAGGGAAAAAAATGCATATTCTGAAGAAGCCACCCTATTTGTTGTGTGATTATCAAGCTTCTATACAGAAGACCAATCTACCACAAAAACCTATTTGTCTCTTCTTTCTCTCTTTCTTTCTTTCTCTCTTTCTTTCTTTTCTTTCCTTTCTTTCTTTTCTTTCTTTTTTCTCTCTTTCTTTCTCTCTTTCTTTCTTTCTCTCTTTCTTTCTTTCTCTCTTTCTTTCTTTCTCTCTTTTCTTTCCTTTCTTTCTCTTTCTTTCTTTTCTTTCTTTTCTTTCTTTCTTTCTCTCTCTTTCTTTCTCTCTCTCTTTCTCTCTTTCTTTCCTTTTCTTTCTCTATTTCCCTCTTTCTCTCTCTTTTTTCTCTTTCTTTCTCTCTCTCTTTCTCTCTTTCTTTCTCTCTTTCTTTCTTTCTCTCTTTCTCTCTTTTTCTCATTTTGTCTTCTCTTTTTAAGGAAAAGATGTTTGTTATGTTTGCAGCTTTAAGATCTGCATCAAAATGACTAGATAACCACTGCAACCTGGCATTTGCTTGTACTGAGGAAGGCATTTAGGAACTAAAATATTCCTGGGAGATGAGAATGTGTGACTTGGATCTAGATACAGTAACTTTTTTGTTTTCCAAACCTTCCAGTTACGCACTCTTTTCCCACACAACATGTAATATTAACCTATTGCAAAGTATAGGTTTTAAAGCAGTGGTAAAGGGGAGGACAGTCATTTCTGAAGGATGTGGGGAGAGAAAAATACGAATTTTGGAGGTAAGTCACAAAGCCGCAGAGATGTACAAAGAGGGCAAAACCAACAACAATAACAGTCTTCTGGACTGATTCCAAACACTTAGAGTCAATATAAATGTGAAACCCAAAGGGCCTGTTTGCAAATGGCCCATTTGCAAACTGCTTGACCATCTATTACTCCTTTGTTGGTTTAAGTCCTCTCAAAGAGCTCAGAAGTCATTTGGAAATTTAGCGGTTAATGTTTTTATATGTGGTCCCCATGAACATTTTGACTCAGATGAATCCTCCATAGGACCGAAGAAATCAGTGTACCACGTCCTTGTTTCTTTGCCAAGGATGATGAATTCCATTAAAAATTAACAGCAGAGACCAAGAAACTGGAACTGCACAGACCAGCAATGCCAGAGAGCATTTCAACCGGGGAGTGGCTCAGTCCAAGTGGCTGTTAGGAAGACTCTTTTGACAAGCATTTTTCTTCACAGTGTAGTGGGATGCAAGCTAAGGCAGGCAGAGAGGTGAAATCTATAGGAGGAAAAGTATGAAGTGATCAAGGCTAGGTAGGTATGCTTGTTTGCATGCACACATTAATGTGCTCTGATGCTTCAGAGAAGCTCCCTTCAATCAAAACCTATTTAAGTTCTTGAAGGCTTTGCCCAAAAATCAAAATTCAGTTTAAACACATCAATGCAGAAGCATTTATATTTATTTATATTTGTTTATATTCACACATATACATACACAAATACATATTTTTTTCAAATAGGGACCACATCTTAATGCCTTACAAGTTTATTGCTCCCATTACTGATTATGTGAGGCATTTCCCTTAATCCTGAATAACCAAATGAATTAGATCCCTTTCTTGTTTCTCCTCTCACTGCAGAAGAGCAATGGCTATTTACCTGAGATAGATAGTGATACACAAAACTCCCTTTCAAGCTTCTTTTCTTTAGTCTGCTAAATTTCACCATGTAGAGAAGGGCTGGTATTCTGTTCCTATATACCAAGACTTTTCAAGTCACTAACACAGTCCAAGTGATTCCACTTTGCAAACTCATGTGGTAAAGGGATTGTCCAAATAATATTACTAGAAACAGTATGAGAGTTGGTTTGTGTATGGTTTTTTATTGTATTTTTATATTTTTGTTAAATTATATGACAGCATTAAATAAAATATTTTTTAAAGGTTAAATAATACTCGAACATCAACTTTAAGTTAACAGTGTTAGGGACAGAGCATGACACAAATGTCAAAATCAAAAGCATTTGGAGGGTTAAAATATCCACATGTCAGGCTTGGTATGTACAAATTCAGCAGAAAACTGAGAACAGCCTGTCAGTTTTTAGCTCTCCTTCTTTCCTATCCTTAGTTTCAGTGCCTGCAGTTCTCCAAACAGGACTTTATTTTCATGGTTTACCTGCCTGTCCTGAAAAGTTGAAGCACTAATGCCCACACGTCCTCCTGTGAGTTATTGCCGTGCTGACATCCAGTGTGGGGACAGCTCTTGGACTCACAAAGGCTCTTCGGTTCTACAGTTTGAACTTCCAGGCTTAATAATGTTTAACTTTATTGGGTTTAGTTATGTTTGGTGGCAACAGTCTTTGTAAAAGCAATTCAGATAATAGCTTATAGTTCAAAGGTGCAGGGCCTTGGGTAAGTGGTCAGCAAAGCTATTACAGGTGAAACGTCAGTTAATTCTCCACTTTCTCGCCTTTCCAGTTCCGCATAACCTAAAACACTTGGTGCCCCCCAGTGGCTTTCCAAATTATTGCTACTTGTTTAAGACTTGCTATGGATGAAAGTATTCGCATCCAGACATTAATACAAAATACTTCCAGAATTTTGATTTGTGTTTTACTGAATAGTCTCTTTTTTTCCTTGCTTTTATTTCTTTCAAATTCCTGAAAAATCCTTTAGTACAAAAAGTGGACAGAAATACCTTCTATAAAATGTATGGCATAGGTCCGGAGTTTTCTTGTGCAAACTAGTTGCAGTAAGCCAGATCTTATATTTTTGTTTTATTCGGTTCTTTCCCAGGTACAGTTTGATTAAATCCAGTTGGTGATTACATTCGGCTGAACAGTTGTGAAATTCTCATCTCATTGAACGTGATTTTTTTATGACTTTGATTTCCAAGACATAGTATATGCAGTGTGAAATTTTGCCGAGCTGTTTAAAAGACTTCAGTTTTGTTAAGGCTACAGAAGATGAGGACAGGATGAGACAGTAAAAGGTCATTACAACACGTATGCATATTTCACAGACGTTTTGCATGCACTTATGCATACAAGTATCCGTCTGTAATATACACTTCTGGTCAATTTTCATAGCTGTAAACTCATGCTGTTTATATTAGCAGAACATTCAAATGCTTTGGAAAGGATTGGGAATTGTATTGGTCTCATTCCTGACTCAGAGAGCTTTCAGTCTAATTTTAGAGGGAGATGATAAATGCGTGTAACAAACAGCAGAGAGGAAGTGGTAACAACAGTAAGATTGGCCGGTTGCATAGGGTACCAGTGTGCCCAATATGAAGGTTTGGAAGCAATGTTTTGATTCAATATAAACAATGTTTTTCTATTTTAAGAAATAAACAAACATCAGAAAGCTATGATTAAGATTGCAAAATGTGTTGGGTTGGTTTTGGTTTTTGTTGGTTTGTTGTTTTTTTTTTCTTTTCGCTCATTTCTGTTTTGCCTTGTTCATGCCCTTTTGGAAAGAGTTCCTGTGAGATGAAACCTTCCCCAGCTAACCCTGGCCCAAAGTGAAATGTTTCATTTTTGTTTGATACCTGTTCTTGAACTTGCAAAAAGGCAAAGTGCAAAAGCAGGAAAAGACATGGCCTTAGTTGTTTATTTTTGTAAAATTATTTGCAATCATTAATATAAAAAAGCTAAGGAACTTTTAAACATGATTTTAGATGTTGCTGATAATCTTCGGTGTACACTGGCTATTGCATGAAGCTAAACTTCTAATTCTAATAGCTGGTCGCTGTTGTCATCTTACCTTTTTTTTTTTTTTAGGGTAGTGAGCACTAAACTGATGATAGCCAGTGAGAGGGGGACTAGATAAGGTACCACAGGTACCTGATGAGGATATGGGTTCTTTTTTTCCAAGTGCTTTTGAATTTACTTTCTGTTTGGAAGAAAGCAAAATGTGGTTTGAGTATGCAAGCATCACTGACTGATGTTAAGACTTCTCAGCTGGTTTTTAGCATGCCTGTTGGTATTTTTCCTATTTGTTTGACTTTGGAAATGCACTGGGTTTGTATCCTTCAAAATAATTGCTCTGGCTTGGTGTCCAGTGTCACTCTTTTTCCCCTAGTAACTTCTAAACAGGTTGGCTGAGATTTGCTATCTATTTTCTTGATTATACTGCCATCACATTTTTTTTCAACTGAATCTGAGCTCCCAGGTCAGAAGAGTGAGCAAGCTCTCTCCTTCTTCACAGTTATTCTCATATTAAGTGATTTTTCCTAAAAAGTGTACCTTTTCAGCCTATTTTGCACTGGAATTGTGGTCATTTTCTCTCTATATATCTGTGCATCTCTCCCTTTCCCCATAATAACTTTTGGACTCTTTAGCCTTTCCCAGCTCAAACTGACAGTGGTGGAAAACCTAAAGAAGAATTATTACAATTATTTACTATTAATGTGGTACCATATAAAACTGTGCCGAAATGTTTAATTAAGAAACAGACTAGTATTGCCTAAGATAGACTGAGCTACTAATATAGTAACGGCTCAATATGGTCTCTGGAAGTCATAAATGGGAAGTCAAAAGTTAAGATAAACAGATGGCGATATGTGAATATTATCACATATCAGAAGGGGGAACAGAGAAAAGAGATTAGGGATGGAAACAGTTTAGCACATCTTTTCTCTTGATGAATCAAATTTATACTACGTAAATACTATCTTTCTCTTCTCAGCATGTCAGGCTGTCACATCAATTCGAACATCTAGTCCTTCAGGATGAAAGATTTGAGATCTGTGCTGAGGTTGTCTTGGGACTAGTCTGCTTTCGGGTGAAGGTAAGGCATCTAAGACCTCCTAGTTCTTCTGTCATGGTTTACAGCAACATAACCTGCAATTGAATATAGTCTTGTCGTTAATATACTTCATTATTTTTTAAGGAAAGTAAAGGGAATTCATGTAGATCAAAACTGATTAAAGAAAGAAGCTTAAGACAATTTTGTTAAAAATTAATCAAATGATCAAGAGAAATTCAAGCGTATTAGGGTATGGAAATATATAGTGAAGGCAGACAAATGGTCTACCCAGTTATACAAAAGGACTGTTATATTCTATGCTTGATGGGCTTTGATGAAGATGATTGTTTTAATATATTTCTATAGACATTTGTATATGATGTGTGAGTGTATGTGTATATATTACATGTTTCTTGTCAAGTTGATTTTATATGTGTGTATACTTAATATCCAATTATATTTGGGATATATATATATGTATCCAAATATATATATAAAATGACTCTCATGGATGAAGATTAGAGTAGTAAACACTTTTTTCTTGTTGTCTTTAAAAAATACATTTTCATTTATAAAATCCTAAAGCCAGACTGGGCAAACTGGAGCAAGATATGAGTAAGAACAGGTTGCACGGGAGGCCAGCTTCCCAACTGCCCTTGGCCACGATCTGCTTTTTTTTGCTGAACATGACCCTTTTGCCTCTCTTGGCCTTTCATTCCCCAAAATCTCTGTAAGTGCCAGGTTCATTGACATACAGACCTTGCCCAGCAGAAACTAGAAAACTCACTCTGCGCTCAGAGCATGAGAGCTGCAGTAGCTGGGAGGGCTCGCTTGTTTAATCAGATATTAAAAGGGGATCAATGTCTTATTTTAGGTAAAGAACTCATTTAATAGAGGAGCTTGCAACAAAAGCCTCTGTGAAGGGCTGGACTGTGACACTGAATCTGAACACCAAGCAATAACAGCCCCAGTGTTTTCTAGTTCACGTGATACCTAAATGAGCTTTTAGCTTTCCTGAAGGCTCACAAGCACATCTTGGTTCCTTCTGAGTAGTGTGGTATTACTACTTTTCACAAATTCTTTTCTCAGTCATTCAGTGCCCCAGTTACCTGAGTTTGATGCAATTGGCTGAAGGAGCTAATGAATGTTTAACAATAAGGTAATGGTGAATTCATCTGGAATAGGAAAATTGTTTTGTCTGAATTTGTGGTGTTTAAAATAAAAGCAAAAATGATCTGTTGCTAGGGGATCAGACAGATTACAGAATGTGGAGTTTTTCCAGTAAGTGGAAACATGACTATAATTTCTATCCTAACAAGAACTTTTAAAAGATTTTGAGGAATAGGTTCTGTGGCTTTTACTGCTCAATAACAAGATGTTGCTTGTAGTCTGCTCTCTCACATGGAACAAGCAAACACTAGTTTTGCAGATCCAGAGACAGCTGTTAGTCAGTGCTCTACATTTACTTTAAAGGAACAGTCCTGGGGAAATAGAGCATAGCAATACAGGAATTGTCACTTTTGATCAGACCAGTAGTTCATCTACATCTGTTCTCCTGTCCCTGATGATTCGGAGGAATCAATCAGATCTACAGGGAAAGACAATTTTACAATAGGAGGTAAATAGAGGACACCTGGCTAAGAAACTTTTGGACAAGTTGCAGAATAAAGGCATGACTCTGCTGAAAACCAATGTTGAAACAGCAGTGTTTTCATCGCTTGCCTTCCCAGTCCAAAAAAAGAAAAGAAAACAAAACTAACAAGCTTTTAAATGAAGGGAGTTTTATAGTTATTTTTGCAGCTTTATGTGCTTTTTCAATCACTCTTTCAAAAATCTTCCTATGATTTCTGTAATTCGTATTAAAATGCATCTTAGAAATAGCATACTTGTAACTTCCATGTCGTTACAGTAGGGCTAAGGAACAGAGGACTTGAACTGTAACGCTGCACAGCTGTAAAAGTATGAAATATTTTTCCTTCTTTTGTTCTTGAGAAATCCTTTTTTATTTTTTGTTTTTGCTTACTATAACTTAATTTTTTGCCTTTTACACTGTGGAGCAGATGGACTAATAATCTATGACTTTCATATTATAACTATTTCATCAAATGTATCATGCCAAAGGGTTAAGTTTTGGCCTCCTTGCCATGGCTGCAGATGAATACAAGTCAAGCTAGTAATTTCTCCAAGGGGGTGAGAATACTGTCTTACTGAAGCTGACAGCCTCGGTCAGAGTTGGCTTCTCAAAGCTCTGGGAGAGGATTAGTCACTCATAACTTCAATTCGACGTGACACCTGAGTGTCACAGCAGCCCCTAGGTTGCAGCTGTGAGAGTAGCACAGAAGGAAGATACATAAATCTTTCTCATTCCTCCCCTCACCCCTGCCAAGGGCATTAACTTCACATCATATAACTGCTATTGCCTGAAAGTCAGTGCTGTGGATTTCATATTAAAGGCAAGGATCATCATTTTAATGATGGGTTACCTTTGGTAAGAAAGCAGTATAACATTGTCACCAGTGACTGACCCATAATGGGTGGGGACTTGCAAAACAACAAAGTTGGTCCTTTTCTTAGGAGCACTTGAGATGCACAAATATCTCCTAGAAGACTACGGCTAAGCCATGAATTTCAGGCTTTAATCCAAATTCCCTAACAACTTGTGCTAAGTCAGAACAAGGTTTTGACTTGAGTTCAGCTCTTAACTCGAATATGATCCAAAAACATGAGAATAATACATTTATCCTCAGTGCCAGTGGGAAACTGTGTCTCCCTTATGCTTTGTTTTATATGGAAAAGGCTAAGCAGGCAAGTCACAACTGTGCAGATTTGAGAGAGCATGTTTTCTGATATGGATGTTTTCAAGAAGACTGATGCTGCTACAGTAACAAAACTGCTGCTGAACGGATGGATTTGTCCATTTGTGACTCTGTACCGCAGTCAGTGTTCAGTAACAGGATAGTGGAGTAAAAACGCAGATGCTCCCAGCATCTCTTGCAATTTCGAGTTACCAGTAGGGTAATAGAAAGACTAAAGGCTGTACAATAGCTAAGAAACTTGCTCAAAGAATAAAATTAAAGCACTCAAGGTCAACGTGGTTATGTCATAAGCTATTACAGCAAACTGCCTAGCAAAGCTGAAGCCATCTCTCGGTCTGCTGATATAAAAGTTAGACAGACAGATTCCTTTAATTTGGGTAACAAAGACCATCAAAGATATGCAGCTAGCACTTCATCCTGTGTTGCTAAATCAGACTAAAATCCCAAGATTTTTCCATTGTTTTCATTTAAAGTGATTTATTACTGTTTTTGAAGATCTGATGACATCTTTTGTTTTATTCTCAAATGCTGATGGACATGAACTAGGAAAACCATTGATTCAACAGTAGCTGAACCTGCAAAAGAACCAGTACTCCTCTGCGCAGTCCTGTTTCTTTTGAGATTTGACACTAGGAGTGTACAGCTGCTCTAAGGGAAATACCTTCACTGTTTGAGCACAAGGAGAATGAAGTACACTAGAAGGAGATAAAATTCAATACTGCAGAGTCCCTCTGACCTTCTGCAAGATATTTAACATTTGTATCTTTGTTTTCCAGAATGCAGAAGCCAGTTTAATTCCAGTGAGAGGATCAGTTTACCACATTTCTAAAATCCCCTCCAAAAAACCCACTCTGTAGGATTCTGTGGCAAACACTTTCTACAGAACGTGAGGCAAATACTTCTTGAGGGTTTCCACTGATAGTATGAAACTTACTTATGCCAGGGATATATTACCTTAACCTTTTCTTAATTATTCAAAAAAATAATTCAAAAGACCCTCTCACAGCAGCCATGCTTAAGTGAAGACTGGAAGGTTTGTTTTACAAATGTTAGTATAGTTCATTGCAAAACTTCCTCCCACATTTGTTTGATTAGATCTAAGAAAAGTGTAACGAAATGGATGCAGTAATGAATGCTTTTACATGAAGCTACATAGCTCATGACCTTAGGTCACACAAAAGCAGTCAGCTATCACAAATGCCCCAGTGTGAACACTGCTTCTAAACGCCACTTAATCCATAAATCTCTTTGTGGCTGAAAAATTATCTCGTGCGCCGTCATCTTTTTGTAATAACTTTGATGGCAAAGCACTGACAGATGAGAAAGTGTTTGCGTGTTACTGGTGGTACTTGGGCTTGGCTGCTTGGTGGGATTTACATATTGCAAACTTGCTTCTGAAATTCGTCACCATATCCCTTGAATTACAATGATTTCAGGGCTCAAATGAACTAAATAAGGCGCTTCTTAAAAGCATAAATGAGGCCAAGAAGATTCATCTGGTCCCGTGCCACCTGCGAGAGAAGTTTGTGCTGCGTTTCGCTATTTGCTCCCGCACCGTGGAATCCACCCACGTCACGTTTGCTTGGCAGCACATCTCACAGCTGGCAACCGATCTGCTGAAAACATGGGAGCAAAACCACCACCAGCAGTAACAGCAGTGAAGTAGCAGTGAGGAAGAGGTAATAACTGGCTTTCTCTGTGTTGCCAAGTTTTACTGTAGGGGCAGGTGGGAAAGTCAAATTATGAAGGAAAAAAAAATACAAACCCTGTTGTTATATAGCCCAGCTGCAGTAGCAAAATCCTTGCCAGCAAGTCGTGCTGTAACCTTAGTGATTCCTTCTCTGCACTGTAGTTCCATCGTCCCTGTTGCCAGGATGCACATAGCCACGGGGGCTCGAGCTGCCATGTCTTACCAGTTTGTAACCAAAAGCATTTATTGAACCAGGCAATGGAAATGGGTTGTCCCCATTAACCTCTAGCACACCTGCTCCTTTCTTCCCAGATGGAACTGTGAGGTGTTATGACCAATTAATTTAACATTACTGTGACTTCAGAAAGAAGCCAGGCTGGGGGAAGTTCAGTAACCTCGTTACAACACTGTTCGGGTCCTGCCTACCCAGGCACGCACAAATTTGTTATCATGATTTGAGGCGCTATCATATCATGACACGCTTGCCGCAGTAATTTTGTAAATGAAGTTAGGACTTCAAGACTTCCTTCATTACATAGCCAGATCGGGGGGAGCGAGCACTAATTGAATGCTAACCGTCCTTATGGCAGGTTCTCTACCTTCTCCTAAAGGGTTTGCTTTTAAACCAGCCATTTTGTCAAATCTCACCAAATAGGTTATGCTGGCTATTGATTTTCACTTTGATCATTCATAATGAGGCCTCTTAAAAGCTCCTTCTTAAGAGTTTTGTCAAAAGCCATGTGCTACCTGGTATTCTGCATTTTCAACCAAGTTGTTACAAGCAGTGATTACTTGAAAATAATCTCTCAGCTGTGTTCTGTGAAATGGAGTTGTGATTTCTTTTTATGGCTACCATTCTGCTTACTTCATTGTGTAATAAATCTTTGACAAGATGTGCTATGAAATGTGCAAAAATGTTACTCTTCATTTCTCAAATTAGCTAACAAACAAGATAACAAATTACAATAAAAATAGGAATTAAGAGAACTAACCCCCAAAAATATGCTGTGGTGCCCCCATCAGTGGTTTTCTCCCATTAACAGTGACACATGGAATATGAAAATGCTGGAAAACAATTAACCTTCAGAGAAAGTCAAATAATGTGTACTTGACACAAACCATTGGTATGTTCTCCTGTCGAAGGCAGGTAAAAAGGAGAAATGAAAGTCAGAAACACTATCTGATTTTAGTAAGTACTTCTGCCATTTTGAAAACATAAACTCCAGACCGTTATTTCTATGTAAATAAGAACAAAATAAATAGCTACTTCAAGAAAAATAATCTGTAGGATTCATTTCTACATTTGCCTTTGTTTGCATCTTTTCCTTTTGCTGCTCATATTAACTTCTAAAGCGTCTTGAACGACTTGCGCAATGATTCAGCTTTCCTCCTCCATCCTTGCAAGTATACTTCCTGCATTTGGGAAGTGGCAAGCAGACCATGAAACATGCACCAGGACAGGTAATTTAGCATACAGTCTGCTCCTACCCACTGTCTTTCCAGAAGGGATTAAAGAAGTTGACTACTGACCAGGTGGATTTTTCTGGTGATTCCTAATCCCCTCACTTCTGCGGTGCAAACTGGGCAAGGATGAGCAGTAACGTGTGTGCAAGTGGTACGTAAGAGACGTGCCTTAATCCTGACACGTAGGAAGAACTGACCAAGCTTTGCACTTCCAGCAGGTCGAGCTACGCCACTAGGGGAGGCGATGGCACACCCTGCCCTTCCGTAAGGCTAGCCAGAGGCGGGGGGTGGTAGCCTCCCCGGTGGAAAAGCTGATTACAGCCTCTGTAAGGATGATTTCACAGGTAACAGATGACGCAAGGGATGACAAAACCAAGTAATATTCGAGCAGGTGACTGGGCCATTCCACAGGACACTACTCTCCGCTACAGTATCAGAAATTTTGATAGCATCGTTCTCCTAGGCAGAACCAAGATGAAATTAGGCTGTTCTGTAGCAGCATGATGCCATAGGTCCATAAACTGAAGAGAGCGGAAAATGCTGGCAGTTGTTTCCTTTCCCTGTTACTAGTTTTTTTCAAACAACATTATTCAGTTCTCATGACTTGAGAAACAATGTTCATCCATAGCACATGTGGTCCACACTGACAGAATTTCACAGCTTTTACATTAACGAAAACACTAGAATCTAGGAGCCTGAGAATTACACCATGTCTATGAGACAGCCCAGTGTTTTGTATGTGGAATACATAACCAGGTCTCTCCAGGAAAAAAAAAGGGATCAGACTCTGATCAAAGCTATCATAGAGTAAATCCAGGATAATCCCACTGAAATGAAATGGAGTTGCTTTGCGCTTATGTGACTATAATTGAAATTAAAATCTAACCAATACGTATTGGAAAAGAAATGCGTAAGGTACAGCAACGCTAGACTGAACATCACAGGGTTTTGGTGGAAATTCTTTCCATGGAAACCGGAGCAGAGGTGGATGATGCATGCCTGTGTGCTGCAGAACAGGGACACGGGGCAGGATGCACATCCAAACCCAGGAGAGCTGAAATGTTCCCAGCAGCCCAGAATTAGACATAGGACCCTCTAGACTGGTGGGAAAATGTTGCCAAAAATGACATTCCATTAAATGTTTTTCAGCATATGGCTGTCAGTTTTAGAAGGGGCTGTTGTCCACATAACAAGACCCCTTTTGGCAAAGAATTTAGGATAAATGTTAATTTAAAATATTAGAAATGCAGTAAATGTTAATTTACTTTTCTTTTTAAAGAAGTGATGTGAGCAAATCTTCTGATAAGCACCGGTGACAATACCCGTGGAATTAAATTTCCCGATGGCCAGCCCAATACAGAAATCTGAAGTTCACAGTTCTCGTTTTTCCTAAATTCTGGGATGATTTGAAGACATAATTGGTGATGGCCTTCCTAGTATTCTGTCTTTCATACCCTCTTTTCCCCCCATGATAACTCCTTCATGGGCTATTAACATCAGGTCATCTGAAATGACATCTGGGCTATGTAATCAACTCAAGAACAAAAGTGTTGAAAAGAACATTTTGAAAGAAGAATGTAACTGCTGTTTCTGTTCTGTAGCTTTGCAACATATCTGTAAGTGAGAAATACTGTATTTATGAGTAGTTAATATGTGAACCTCGATTTATTGTGCCTTGTGTGCAAAAGCAAATACAGTCTGTGCCAATTAATACTGTTTGATGTTAAAAATAACTACAAAATCTCAGAATTGTACTTTAGTAGAATATTCACATCTCAAGGGAGACACTGTGGGTAGTAGAGAAGGAGGGAAAAAAGTAACTTTTCAGTAACTTTTTTTTTTTTGTTTTTAACTAGTAGAGTGCTAGTACAATATTTCATTCTTAATAACAATGACAGATTATATTTTATTACCGATGGTGAAATATTGAAAAGACATGTATTTATGAAAGTATAGCTAATATATTATACTCTGAACTACATTATAATTATTAAATTTGTAATTTTCTCTTGACTTTACATCTAAGATTCTGCTCACGGTTGCTGTTTTGTTGTTGTTGTTGCCTCCTGTAAGGACACGGTATCTGACGAGTCGTGCTCGCACTGCAGTGGTCTCACAGCAGCAGTCTAAACCTCGAGACATGCGTAAACTTTTGCTCAGAGACAGAAGCAAACAAGAAAGAAAACTGAGCACCCTGAAGACCAGGGTGGCGGTGGCAGGTTAAATAACCATCGATGGGCAATAACTACCCAGATGTGCAGAGTCTGTATGACCGAAATGGAAAAATAATCAGACGCTTGGTGCTTTTTTAGTGTAATTTGTGAGCTGTCGAGTTCCGTTACAATCTGTATCCACAGCCTATGGAATGGACATGTAGGTTTTAATTGGCAGCATTAATAAATGGAAACAAACTATGGCTATTGTCTGTCTTTGCTCTTAACCAAGGTGTTGCCATTTTATTCATGCCAGATGTGCTGTAACGGGTCCAACTTCCCCACTCAGGTCATGTCAGCGCCCTTATTTTCACCATCGGTGACTTTTACCGTCGGTGGCTTTTTCTCAGTGTGTTCTTTGAACAAATTACGTTGGAAATGAGAGTTCCTGCAGGACGTTTCCTCCTCAGCAACATGCCTGAAAAATGCCTGGCCATACCAGAGCCGATGCCAACCCTTCTGTAAAGTCCTGCCCCGTCCTGCAGCTGGATCTGCCACTGGAGCCAGCTGCCCAGCTCCGGCTGTGGTTTGCAGCCCAGGTGCCATCAGGCAGGAGAAGGCAGCGGCCCATTTTGTTAGCCCTGCCTGGCTGCAGCTCCCGAGGGGGGCTGGCAGCTGCAGGCTCCTTCCCTCCCTGCCCCTGAGCCACCCAAGGGCGAGCAGGCAAGCGCACCTTGGGGGAAATTTGATGGCAGGAGTGTTACAAACTACAAATGTTCGCCCGATTTGGTCTTTGATGATAGCTTGGATTGCAGCGCAGACAGTTTGATGTGCTGTCTGCACTAAGGGCGTGACAAGCCTGATGTGTAACAAAAACCTGACAGTAACTGTAAGAAATGTTTCTCACGGAAAATTAAAACAGTCACCCACACAGAAGCGACTATGTTAATACCAGAGGTGTAACTGCAGTAATTTGCATCTAGGCTGGTGCGTTCATGTGAACGTGGGTTGGTGTGATCCCGCTAGGGACTCCACGACCAGTTCATGGGATGGATCCAACTGGGCCACCATCTTTTGCCCTGTAAGGCATCACGTTATTGATCTCATCCCTCTGCCAGAGTTCAACCGCTGCCGCTGAGGCCTTTAGCAGA